TCTGAGCCAAAAAAAATTAATAGTTTGACATTGAGGATACCATTACATATGGGCTGGGCAGACTGAGGTAAACCAGCTTCCTTTCCTATGGTTTCACATCTGCTTTTTGTCTGCTCTTTGCAGGCAGAAAGGCTCTGTTGACTCTCGCTAAGTAATCTATGGAGCACAGTGCTTCGTTGCCCCATCTTCAATTTTGAGATGTCTTGCTTTCACCTCCCCACTCACTCTCAGGCTAAGTATTGCTTCATCAGCATAAATATCCAGACTGACGCAGTCTTAAATGCCTTTTAAATGCCGGCTCATTTCCCCCCTAATTCTCAGGGGAGCTGAAATTCATACCCTGTGGTTTATAGGGTTTGTGGGTTGGTTGAGGGGGGCTGGTCCTCAGGGACCCTCCCCAAGACCAATGATGGCCATAATGTGCAGGGAAAGCTTCCAAACCTGGCATTTCTCGCTTGTCCCAACTGGTGAGCGTCTCCATTGGGTGGTGGTAGCGTGATACCCCCTTCACGGTGAAAGCCCTCTGGCTGTAGGTGATGGGGGCTGGTGTCTCCACAATGCAGGGTCACACCTGCTTTCTTCACCCATTCCTGGCTGCTAAACCTTTAAAACAGGGGGGTTTGGGAGTCTGCTTTTGGCACTGGGCACAAACACTACTTGTGCGCATCCTTTTCCTGAAACTCCGTAAAATTTGCAGAAAAGCAAGGAGAGAGCTTCAGTGCTTTAATTAAGATTTCTATGCTCTCCAGCTTCCCAGCCTGGGGTTGTCAGCAGAGGCTCCTTTGGCTGTCATCTGTCCAGAGAGATCCCACATTTGGCTGCTGCTGAGAGAGGACTGCGAGAGGAACGCTACGATATGACATATTTCAGTTTTGTAAAGAGGTTGTTGCTTTATTTGGTGATTGCTGGAGGTTTATTCATAACGCAGAGTAGTCTTTCCTCAGAGCTGGTGTTAACTCAGAGCAAGTGCCTTCAGCCAGAAGAAATACAGACTTCTCCTTGTCAATGAAATGCATGAAGTTGTCTCTTTTTCGTGCTGCTCCATTGACTTGAAGCACTTCAGTGAGGAGGTCATCACTGCTATTTGAGTTATTCGAGAAGAGCCATCCCATGCATCTCGGGAATGGATGTGTGGCAGTAAAACTGCCCGATCAAAAGTTCCTTTATTAGGAAATGAAAAGGCTGCAGTAAGCAAGTGATCCCCTTGAAACCTGTGCTCCAAATACAGGTCAGAAGTGTGTCTCTGAAGCACACCAAGCCTTCCAGGGAATATCCAATAACTGGGTTAATAAAGAGTCCTTGCCGTGTAAGGAACAAGATATATCTTGTACATAGAGACTAAGTCTCCATAATGAGACTTCTAGACAGCAACTCCAACCCATGGTCAACCTTACCTGAGCTGCTATGTGATAATGTGGCAAAAATTGGGACCTGAGCCATGTGGCTGGCTCCTGGGTTACTCGCAGCAAATTCTATCTATGCAGACAAGCTTTGTGATGTCCTGTTTTTGCTATAGCAGAAGAGGTTTTTGGAGCTTGTGTGGGGTCTGTGAGTGCTAATTCTGGCTTTGGCTGTGGCATAGGCATAGGCAAATACGTGCACGGGATGCGGTTCCTGGTGGGATAGAGGGGGTGCCACATGCCTCAGGCACTTCATTTTAATACAAAATGTGCCTTTTGCCTTTGTGTTAAGGGAGAGAACTATTTATCTCTTCAACATTTAGCACCCAGCTCTGGCAGGAAGACCTTTTGGAGCAGGGAAATGCCATTAACTCAATATCCTTGAACAAGTCAGTGGTGATCACCTTATCTTCATGCTCAAACCTGACCCTCCTTGCTATTGCTCTGAGAGGGAGCAACGAGGGGCTCATCCTTTTGGGCACATCCCTTTGGGCTCAACAAGTGTCTTTGGTCTTTCTTCCACCACAGAAGAGACCATAGCCTCTACAGGTTGGCCAATGTGCTTGAGGGAAAATTCGGCTGCTCTTTTCTCAGGACTTGTATGTTCAGGAAAAGCAAAGCCATGAAGACGGCTGTCTCTGAGCATGGTTTTGGGACGTGCAATGGCAGGGGTAGGTGATGCCCAGCGCGGTGGCTGATTTCCACAGGAGATTTGTGGCATGTGGGGCTTGGCCCTCCCTGTCCTGGTGCCCCATTCCAGTGGCTGTCACACGTGGCCCAAGGACAATCTTCATTTACAAGAGGGACTTTGCACAGAAATGCTTTATTCAGCAAAGAATGCAGAGGCAGGCTACCTTTTCTTAATCACCTTTTTTTGCTGTTCTTGTGGGTTTCTGTGTATATTGCCAGGTTTGTGTGTTAAAGCATTAACCCTTTCTCCTCCTTTAGACATATTTATGCTTTGCAGGAGTTGCCGCCTAGCAGAGGAGCCATTGAATTATTTTTTTGTGGAGCCTCTCTCATTCCCAGTAACTGCAGAAAGCTGTCTTTGCCAGCACCAAGGATGCTGCTCTCGTCCAGTGACCAAAAGATACCCGAGCAAGTCACTGCACCTAAGTAATACTTGCCTCACATTAAGTCTTAAATACCAGTTTTTTGCTCTTGGTTTAAGTAGCACGAGCTTGCATTTCTTCATTAGCCATCCTTTCTGTCTCTGTTTTAGTGTACATCATAAACTTGGAATTAATTGCTCCTGCTGCTTTTAGAAATATAGGGAAATTTTCATTGCCTCTGTTTCTCCTCCTTTCTTTCTCTCCCCGCCCCCCAGGGTTGATTTCTAAAGATTCGAGGTTTTCCAGACTCCTGAAGCCTTTCTGTTGCTCTTCTACAGCATTTCCAACAATAAAATCTGTCCGGTACCATTGGTCCTCTGATCTCTTTGCCCCCTTCCCTTGTTCCAAGTTACCCCTTTTCTGCCTTCCTTTCTTTTAAAAGCTGACCTGTGGCACTGAAAGCACCTTTCAAACATTGCCGCCTCCTTCCACCACGGCTCTCCTAGCACAAATACGAAAGCAAAGTTTTTGAAGAGAGATCAAACACCGACTCCCTACTTGGAAGCCAATGAGCTACTTTGATTTCTTTCTTTCTTTCTTTTTGTTACACTTGATGTATACACTTGCGAATGGCTTGGCAAAACAAATATTCCTGTGTCTTGAGAAGGCATCTTCTGTTTGAATAATACACATAATACTCTCTGGCAGAGTATTTTCTGTCTTTTTTACAAGCACAGTGCTGAGGTGAAGATATAGCCTCTAATTTTACTGGTCTAGCACATGGATCATGACCACACCAGAGCGCATTAAGCACCCTGTGCACAGGGGGATAAATACCATCACTTTACCAACAGCCTCCAGTTTAAAGGTATATATATTATATTTATTGATAGCTCGCTCCAGGTTTGAAAGAGTGAATGCCATTTAAATGGGTTTGGTAATCTACGGAGTAAATCAGTAGGAGGTTTTTTAGATGTAGTTTTTTTCCATGCCTCTTAATAGTGTCTATGCCTTTAGAATATTTCTTCTGGTAACGATGATTATGTGAGCAATATTTCAGCAACAGCACTCTTGGGCATGCTATAGAACCAGAGAAGTGGTAGCTCTAAGGACTCTTTGTAAAATATTTAACAACGCCAGCAGCCTGCCGTAACCTTGATAAATCATCCCCATTTCTGGATGCCAGAGTAATTAATAATGACCAGCATGTTTGTTTTACAGAGCAGCTGTCCCATGGCTGTACAGCAGGACAGATGTTCTCAAACTTTCTGGGTGCTCTGGAAAAGGCAACTCGTAGCAGATACCATCTCCATTATAAGACTACCCGAGAGTGTGGTGTGCATTTACACAGGCTGCTTGTTGCTTAATTTGCTGTGCTGGTGGACCTAGATCTTCTGATTGATCTGTCATAACAGCGTAACAAATGTGTAATTACAGTAATGAAGTTAAAAGTTCACTAAGATCAAAATAGTTGAGGCCTAGTGAACAGAAAGCAATCTTTAACAAGTCAAGAGCTTAATTTGTAGCTAATAAGCAGTTAAAATATGATTTTACTAGGTGTGCGTCTAGCAACTTAATTCTGCAGCAAAACAAAGCCCCATTTACTCAAGTTTACATCCAATTGATGAGACTTCTGCTTTTCTGAGAATGTAGCTATTAACACAGCACTGGTATAATAAGGAAGGCTGTGACGAATTGGTGCTTGGTTAAGATAGTGGAATAGTTATTACAACTGCAAAATGCAGTCACCTGAGGTGTAAGGCCATTTCACAGTCCACCAAAAAATAACAAGCTAAATGGCTCCTGGGCTGTGCTAATCTCCTGTTGACTTTGCAGCTTGGTGCCATTTCAAGCTGTGAAGGAAAAGCTTACCGAGGTCAGCCCTGCTCTGCTTTAGCCTCTGCAATTTGCCGAATCCTCTACTAAGGCTGCAAACATACAAATATCCAAAAAGGTCTCATTCTCACCTGGAAAGCTTAATTCCTGAACTTCCTTCTCACCAAAACCCAAGCATTTATCTTCTTTCACTCGAGCAAATCTAACTGAACTCTTTAAGTGGCTTAAAATCACTCTGATGACTTCTATACCCATAGCAATGGATGGTCACAAGACTACCTTCAGTTTTCTAGTTCCAGTCAAACTGGTAGCTGTGATAATTACACCGAAGAGCTGTAGTATCTACTAGTGGCTTTTTCTTACCCCTGTGGATGTTGTTGTTGAGTTGGTCTTGGTTATGATCTGCAAATTAGCTGCGTGCTGAAGAGCTGGTCTTGTGTTGGGTTGGCTTGAGAGGTGAGGGAGCTTGTGTGGTGGTTGTCCATACTGTACTGATACTGAACACTACGTACAATGCTGAGAACCACCTGGCAAGAACATCCTCTATAATCTTTGGAAAATGATGACTTTAAAAACCACTTTTGCGCTATGCTCGACACGCAGCAGCACATGCAAATACGTTCGGTGTGAGTAGAGCAGCAAGTTTGTTGGCTCTGTGGCTTTGTTCCAAATAAATGATGTTGGCTTTGGTTTTGTTGTACTCAAAGGTGCCTCATCACCAGACATGGAGTCCAGCTATGGGGGAGGCTTGCTAGATATGGTGAAAGGAGGAGCAGGGAGACTCTTCAGCAATTTGAAGGATAACCTGAAGGATACCCTGAAGGATACATCTTCAAAGGTCATGCAATCTGTTGCCAGGTACAGTACAGCTGAAGCTGCCTAATGCAGGTAAAATCACAGCCCAACTTCCAGTTAACCTAATGAAGGAAGGAGGTCAAAATCACATGCAGCTTCCTCAATTCTATCTTATAATTGATATTTGGCCTCAAGGTAACAGAAAAACCAAAGTAAAAAAACCTAAGCTTCATTGTAAGTGAGCATCAACATCCTGAAATCTGGAATTCCCCCCCAGTGAAAAGGGAGCACTTGGTCTCCAATTCCTTCACTGACCCCTGGGGGGTGCTTCTAAGGCACCACTTAAATATTTTGACATTGAAAATTGGCTCTTGTGTACCTTCTTTTTGCTGTGCGAGGAGGATTTTGGTTTTGCTGATGTCGCTGTTCCCTTTGCTAAATTCACTCTTTGAAAAGCTGAGGTGACTTTGCTTTGGTTACCCCTGCTGGCGTTGTCCCCTGTGTTTGGCACACCACCTGCCTCTGAGGGATGTGGGGCTGCAATAAATTAATGAAACTTAATGCGTGCAGGACCTTAGAGGCTTTGAGGGATCTGTGAAGTGGTGAACTACTGGAGATTTCTCCTGCAAACTGGCACTGAAAATTAATGACAAAAGGACAGTTTTTGCAAGCTTCCGTATCCAGTTAATGGCCTATGTAGGAGGGAAGCCTGGGGCACTGTCTGCAGGAAGCTGTTTGTACCCTCTTCTAATGACAAAGTACAAAAAATCAGTTTTAAGATCATTCTTTCCTTGTGTTAGAAGCAGATCTTTGTGGGAAAACACTCTTCTGGTTCTTTTGCTGTGCTGTCTTCTGTAAACATGTGCATAATTCCTGTCTCCTACTTTGTCTTCTTTTAGTTACACCAAGGGGGAGCTAGATATTTCATACATTACCTCAAGAATTATAGGTAAGTGCTGCTTATCGGATAAATCAAACCTGTCGTACCCCAGGGTTCAGGAGTCCATAACCACATTATGGTGCATGCTCAGCCTGGCTTCTTCTTGTGTCCCCAGTGATGTCTTTTCCGGCCGAAGGTGTTGAGCTGGGGTTCAGGAACCACATTGAAGATGTACGGACATTTTTGGACTCCAGGCATCCTGACCACTACACAGTCTTCAACTTGTCACCCAAGTACTATCGCAGTGCCAAGTTTCACAACCGGGTGAGTGTCTTCTCAGATATTAATGGAGCAGGGAGTAAAAATTATTGGGGAAAGGGGCAGAATATAAGATGAAAAAGGTATTATGAGTGTTTCTAAGCTGCTATGGTCACTTCTGGGTTTTAGCTGATGCCTGGGACCATGGGATTAAAGAGCTGGGAGGTTCAGGGCATGATGCTTATGTTAGGAGCCCATGAGAGTACATGGCATTGCACAGAGTTGAGCCTGTGCTGCTCTTGACTCCTACATAGCTGTTAGAAGCTGCTGCAGAGAAATAAGGAGTAAAATGAAAGTATTTTGAAAGAAATTGCCAATAAAAGAAGGCAGATTGTTTTCAAGTTGTGACTTAATCAAGCAGGAGCCCTTAGCAGGCAAAGCAGAGGACTAGAAACTGGGTCTGAGGGGCATCTTGGTTCTTCCACTGGTATGTGACTTTAAAAACCCATCTCCACTCTCTGCCCCAGTTTCCTTCTCTAAAACCAGAACAGCATACGGGAGCATCACAAGGCTCTGGTTCATTAATGGCTTTTAGAGGAAATCTCTATGAAACGCTGCTGTTGAAATGCAAGATTAGATCTAATCTTTCAGTTCTTGCCGTCTCCCACAAGGCAGTGATAATTTTTTTTTCTTTTAAAATTTTCTTATTTTTTGTTGCTTTCAATGAAAAAGGCAATGGCAGTTGCCAGGCTTAACCCTCGGTCAGGGTAAGCGAATCTCATGCTGCAAAAGCCTAATTTCATTCTAACCTGAAATAGAGCTGAGTGTCTCTTCAGCAATTGCTCTGATCACCAAAAATTAGTCACTCGCAATTGAAGTGAATTTCTCAGTGGCAATCAGTAACCAGCCATGATTTCAAATATAAGTAAATGAATGGGAAAGATGAATTAAAAGATATGAAGGGCTCTCAATCTTCAGTCTTGCTTGGTTGTGATGCATCACTTGGTAGGAGAAAAATAGAACTACTTTTGAAAGCCCAGCACTATACCTGACCATAACCATCTCCTACCCTACCCAAAGCTTGACAGGAGACTTTGTGTGTCGTTTTCAAAGCATGAGTAGGTGCTTTGTAAGCTATTGCCTCAACACACACAGGAAGAAAATGATGCATCTTTTGTTGAACTATTGTCTTTTCGGTTTACAGGCTAGGAAGTAATGACTCAAGTACTTTTCAGGAAAATTAAATGTGCAGAACACAATACATGAGATCAGATGAAACATGAAACAATTATAAATATGAGGTTGAACTCAATTTATATTGGAAAAAATACTAATGGCCTACCAAGGAGGTGAAATCATGTTAAGAGTGTTTTCTGCATTGGATGAGCAATGAGTTTTGAGACAGACACTTCTTCTTTGAAGTGAAAGGCTTTTGAATTCCTATCTTCTTTAAAACTTTTTTTCCCTTAAGATCAAAGTAGGTCACTTTGCTTCATGGTGGCACAGAAGGAAGATGACAGCCCATGTCACGCTGGGCCATTTTCCTGCCCTGACGTGGCTGTGTGGGGCACAATGTCCCAAGTGCCCTGACTATTGATCTATTGAGGAGAAGAGGGGATGATGAACACTAAAAACTGCTGCTCAGATCCGGTTGTGCTCTCCTGGTGGGAGAGAAGAGCTCAGGTCCGCTCAGGGAAGTGTGAGCAGTTTGGAAACTCAAATATAACATTAAACAAACCAAACTTCAAAGTCCCCGATGGGGCACGTTTTTGGCCGTTGCTGCCCTACTGCTCAAGTGAAACAAGCACTAGCTGCTTATTCCCAAAGCTCTAGAAGAATTCCTGTTACTTTTCCTAAGGCTGTCTTTCATGAATAGTGGTGAAGTTGTATTTGAAATAAATGAAATGCTACATAGTGCATGTTTAATTTCTTAATTGTGATCCAGCAGGCAGATGTGTAATTATAGGCAAAGTAAATATATAATTATGGACTGTTGGGAAATGTGTATTATTTACTTGGTAAGTGATAATGGCTTTTTCCAGATGCCTGACAGTGTGTTGTCATGAGGTCTATTCAGAAGATCATCAGTGAAAGGGTCACTGGCCATGTTAATTCTAACAGCCGCTTGGAATCCGAATTGTGTTTTTGTGGTCTAATTGCATGTGGATCTTGTGCTTCCAGAAGCCAGCTGCAAAAGTGTTTGGGGTTGGGAGGAGAAAACTTCTGCTTGATATAAAAGAATACAATAGTTGGTGTGATAATATCAAATAATTGATAATATAAAATAATCTGTTATTTATGGCATCTGGCTCTATTAAAGAATTGAATAAATGTTTAAGATCACAGTGTAATTCAGATTTTACGATGGTCCCATAACTGCAGCAGCGCAGAACAAAGCTATCGCTGGCTGAGGGTTACCACATAGTGAACCTTTGGGTGTTTTGTGCTCCCTTGGTCCTTCCTGAAAAGGCAGAGAAGAGGAATAAGCAAAGGAAAATAAAAGGTATACAGCAGGAGCAATGAAATAAACTACAGCTGGCGAGACAGGAGGAGATGGGGTAATGAGGATAATGCTGTGGAGAAAGTAAACAGGGAATGGTTGGTTGTTGCCTTCCAAAGCTCGAGCATGGGTTGACTTGTTGGGTAGCTCTACAATGCAAAACCGGTGCTACTTCACCAGGTGCACAGCCAAAATTGAGGATATTGTGGAGATCAAAAACTTTCATGAGTCTAAAAAGCCATTAGACCAATACCTAATCAGATATTCAATTAGATCTCCCAAACGTTAAGCAGAGGTCCACCAGCTGGCAGCAGGACAGATGCGCTGGGTGAGGTGGTGCTGCTGCTTGTGCTGTCCCTGCATCCCCTGGGTGTCATTGGAGCCGTTGTTTGAGACAAAACACAGCTTGGCACGGCTCCAGTTTGAGTCAGGATTCCTGTTTCTGCTATAAGATGTTGTGCAGGTGAATGTAAGAGAAACTTTAAATTCAAGTTTTATGAAACCTGGAGCACTTCCTTCCTCTGAGAGATGACCGGGTCAGGTATGGAAATCATATGGCTATTTCAGAACATCCATCCAGGCAAACCATCTCCTTCCTGCCCCGGTTCCCATTAAACAGAAGCCAAACATCAGCTGAGAGAGAGACTGGTTTTTTGTTTGAGGACAAGCCTCGTGACGTTTCTCCTTCAGACTTCTAGCCAGAAATGCCTTTTTAAAAAAGATATTTTTGATTAAAACCAGATGAAACAGAGATGCGCGTAGAAGGCTATTTGATGTGCTGTTTGACTGCAAGGACTGTTCTTGAGATAAGTGTGATGACTCAGAACTAGTACATCGATGAATAGCAACTGGGGATACTTCAGGATTTATGGGGTTTCAGCTCTATGAAGTCTTTCATTTTTCTGGCTCATATCTTAACTAGACACAGATATGATTTTTTTTTTTAACAGAAGTTTTCCACTTCATCAGCCTAATCTGTCAAATAGGGCTTGAAAATCCTATGACACAAAATAACAGAACAACAGATGCTCAGTATCCTTTGAAAATCAGGGCCTTAGTTTTTAGGGACAAGTTGTACAAAGGCTTTGGACGTAGCAGGAACCAAGGCACTGGTATGAGACTGGAGTGTTATGAAAGGCCGCTTGAGATAATTGGACTTGGAATGTAATTTTTTAAAAATATGTAGTCAATGACAATACATCGATATCATGTCATTTGAGAATACTTTTTTGTTTGTCTCATAATTCATGAAAGTCACAGAGCAGAATTATGCATGAGAAGAGATGGAGTAGGTTTTGAACACATAATTCTAGGTTGTAAAAGAGAAGTACGTTTCTTGGCAGAAAGCATTTGTAAAAGCATGCCTTGTTTAATGCTCTTCTGAAGCTGGCTTTTGTTCACCGTGCCACTCCTGTAGGTATCCGAATGTAGCTGGCCCGTCCGACAAGCGCCCAGTCTGCACAACCTCTACGCTGTCTGTAAGAACATGCACAACTGGCTCCAGCAGAACCCCAAAAACGTCTGTGTCATCCACTGCATGGTAAGCACGCCAGAAAGTAGCCACATTTTTGGACCTATGAAGCACAAAGGCATATTGCATATTGCCTGTCTGGAGTCTGTGTACAGGGATAGTGACAATTTCTAAAAGAAAAAGAAATGCAATAGAATGGACAGAAAGGGATAACGTTTTCAGTGTGCAGCTATGTAGCTAAGCTGAAAGGCCCAATACAGAAGGAGAAGCAGGAAGGCAAAGCAAGAGAGGTCATTGTAGCAGTGAACTACCGGAGGTGATGAGTAGCAAAAAGGTTTGAGCTTCACCCAAGAACCAACCATAAGAGTTGTCAGCTTGCTATAGCTTTTTATTTTATCGTAAGTAGTCACAGGACAAAATGCAGCCTTCAGACTGAAGATTACTGATGGAAATTGGAGAAAAAACATGTATTTGGGAAATCTGTCCAACTGTGAGGTTGATAAAGTCTCTTGTGGTCACTACTTTTTGGGTCTGGCTGAAGAAATCCAGTTGACTTTTGCTCCTCTTTGTGCACCACAGCTGAAATGGTTGCTAAATCCCCTGCAAGGGTTATTCTGTACTAGGTGACCTGCAGATAGAATGCATGAGTGTGGTGTGCTTCTATATGCCTAACTTTATCCCATACAACCTTTAAGATTGACAGTAATGCCCCAGAGAGTTCTGGTTTGATCGTGGAGCCTACATTAAATCTGGGAGGCTGTCAGCCCTGATCAGCATAAACTGGAAGGAACAGGGGAAGTGACTGATCCCAGACTGCATAGACCTCACACATAAATCTGGCATTTCTGCCTTGTATAGCACAGCCAGCAGCTATAGCATATAAATTCAGTGCAAACAGAGACAAAGATGCACTCGATGTCTCCAGTCCTGGAAATCTCGCTCAAGAATCAAATTCCTTTACTGTCCTTTGAGCAATGAATATCAGGATAATGCTGTAAAGGACAGGGAGTCCTTTATAATCCTTTGTAAGGAGGCTGCAGAAGCCCACTTAGTTTAAATGAACCCGAGAGATCTTTTTGGAGCAACGGGCTGGGGGCAAACCTTAAAAATGAATATTCTGTTCACCTTGAGCATGGTTTACTGGGGTCTGGGTCAGCTCTGGTATGGCAAAGCCTTTCTTTTGACTCACTAGAGCTGGGGTATGGTCCCTATGGCTCATTGCCTCTGATGTCCTGGGGATACTTTGATTCTTTTCTGCCGTTTCTATAATTCTGGTCTTTTTATATCAGTCTAACTCAGCAAACACACTTCCCTTCATCATCAACTGAAATGAAACTCAGATTTGCTCAGGAGCAATCTGTGGGTTGAGGGCTGTGGAGCTGTTTGGGTGAGGGAGCCTTGGGCTGTATTTTTTGTTTGTGAACTCTTCTAGGTTAAATTTCTATTAGAGGACTGCCTGCAGCTGTGGGACAGGTGTACACTGACCCCTGTTATCCATTCCAGGCCTATGTTTGAAATAATTATATTAGAGCTTGGGAGCAGCCATGAAACACCAACATTTGTAGGCAAAACGTACTTCTGGGCTTTCAAAACACATCTGAACCATTCTCAGATTTGGCTGCTTACTGGATATTATCTTAGCTTTGATCCAGGCCAGTACCACTCACTGAAGTCCTAGGAATTAAACAAATGACGCAGCATTAGCAATTCCTCATCATCTTGCGGTCTAGGTCAAGCCTAGTCTTTCTGGAGAAATTATTTTATTTGAGGAAGAGAGGAGAGTGTTCTGCTGAAATTCAAAGGATGTCTCTGATACTACTTACACATTTTCTTTTCCTCCCCTTGTATTTTTCCATTGCAGGATGGCCGTGCAGCCTCAGCCGTTCTGGTCAGTGCAATGTTCTGCTTCTGTCACCTCTTCTCTAGCCCAGGCCCTGCTATGCAGTTGCTGAACACAAAGAGACCTGGAATTGTGCTGTGGCCATCTCACAGGAGGTAGAGGACCCTGGCTAAACCCTACACAAGCAAGCTGTGTTCCTCACACTGAGAGCTGCCTGAGCAGTACCTATGCATTAGCTGTGGCACTTAGCTTTGACAGGTCTTAACTAATGCTTACGGCCACTTACCTACATTGATGTAATGGTAACGGAGGAACAAAATTAAATGTTGCAATAGTTTTGCACAGTGGTTCAGGAAAGATGACAAACCTGTAGTTAAGAGGGCCTCAGTGAATCCCTCTCTCTGTAAGCTTCATCTTTGCAGGAGTTTACACTGTAATAAAAACATCTCTCTTACAATGTCCGTTAAGCAGAGGAAAAACTGCCTGTCAGAGCAACCTAAAGATGCGGTGTTATGTACATAATAGTAATGGTCCTTCAGTACATGACTAATGAAATAATTAATCTGTTATGTGCAGGTGAAATAGAAGGGTAAACCAGCAAACCATTGCTCAGCACCTTCTCTCCTAAAAGATGAGGAGAGGTGAGCTCCAGCTCAGAGCTAAAGGCCAACTTCCTTCCTCTTGAGCTCCAGCTCTTGTAATTAAATAGAAATAGAAATGTGTATTTTATGCCAGCTGCAGGGATGCTGGAGTTCATGGAAACTCCAGTCCTGGAGCTGTGAAAGAACCCCACTTCCACTAGATTTCAAGGTAGACTTCAACCTGAAGATAAGGAAAATCTTTTTTACTGTGAGGGTGACAGAGCATGGCCCAGGCTGCCCAGAGAGGTTGTGGAGTCTCCTTCTCTGGAGACATTCAAAACCCACCTGGACACGTTCCTGTGTGACCTGGTCTGGGTGATCCTGCTCTGGCAGGGGTTGGACTGGATAAGCTTTCAAGGTCCCTTCCAACTCCTAATATTCTGTGATTCTGTGACTTCAAGTTCAGGGTAAAAATTAGTCACCTGGCATGGGGATTTCAGTAATGGCTCTCTCTGTCTGCAGATACATAGGATACATCTGCGATCTAATAGCAGACAAACCTGTCATCCCTCACTGCAAACCACTCACGATTAAGTCAGTCACCCTCAGCCCAGTCCCCTGTTTCAACAAGCAACGAAATGGGTGCCGGCCCTTCTGCGACATCCTCAGCGGAGAAACCAGAATTCTCACCACTGCCCAGGAGTATGAAAGAATGAAGTGAGTTGCTGTCATCTCCTACCATCCTTAGGAGCTTAATGCAAGGAGGCTTTCATTTTGCTGTAATGTAGCTAATATCTGTGCTGCAGTCATTGCTGGATTGCCTGATAAATGATGGAGGGCATTTATTAATTGGAGGTTGAAATAAGCTGCCAGAGCGAGTCTGAAGTTGTCGGGTGGTGGGATAGCTTCATAGAGATAATTCGGTGCTGTCTTGTTTTCCCCTGTGAAATGTTTCCCTTTTCAACTAACCTGAACATTAACAGAGCGCTGAATGCCCCTTGTGTCTGCTTGGCCTGAACAAGATGATAGCTTTCACGCTGATACTGTTGATGGGTGGTAATGGCACTGTGGAAAGGAGCTTAACGCTGGATTTCATTCTCTTCCTTTCAAAGAGAATACCGCGTGCAAGAAGGGAAAGTCCTGATCCCACTGGGAGCCACTGTGCACGGAGATGTTGTTGTTTCTGTCTACCACATGAGATCAACCATTGGGGGACGCCTTCAAGCAAAAGTAGGAGTTTGTTTAAATTCTCTTGCACGGTAGAAGCAATGTAGCTAACTAAGAGATGGCTAAATATGGGATCTAAGAATGCACGTGGCACTTGCGATGAAAGTTTCCTTACTTGACAGCAGACATAACGCAGATTTGTGCAGTGCCAAGTGAAAACAAAGAACTGCATATGGAGAAGTCCATGATGCCTCTGGTATCTCTTTATGGAGATGGTGCCTACTGAATAGTGTGATAGGAACTTTCCAGCTGGTCTAGAAGACAGAAACTGTCCATCAGTAACCAGCTCGGGACAAACCACAACCAAAGCCTCTACCTACACACTCTGAGAAGATGGGAGAAGATTTTGTTTTGCTCAAATTAGAATGACTTACTGAGCTATTGCTCCTGCATGGTGTTTGTTTTGCTTGCTCTAGAGCAGCCTTCAATCTTTTTTTTGGTCACTGGGGCAAAAAGGCAGCATGTGTAGATTGGTCAGTCATGAGGAAGACCGTTTAAGCCGCAGGCTGGTCAGATGGCCACCCTCTTCATAGCTAAAAGGCCTCTTAATGCTAGCAGATCAAAGAACTGGGAGACAGTGGAAACTGGGGAGAGAGAATAGAGGAGTGCCGGAGTGGGTTCCTCTTGATATCTCCTTCCCAGAACAGAGTAGCAGTGCTGAAAGCGAAAATATGCATTGGTCTGTGCTGTTCTGGGCTTTGAAACTGACTTTAAGATGCTGCTCTATGGCTCTTGTAACTTGGAATTTGGAAACCCAGTCTGTTCAGACTAGAAAACTGAGATCTGCAAAAACTGCATCCACAGTTGTCATATACAAAGTTGCTCTATTAGCCTTTGTAGTGATGAGGGTCGATTGGCTCACTCGGTGAGATAACCTGTTTAAATTAAAAATTTAAAGCATAAAAAGTGAGGGAAGATCCAAGTTTTGTCCCCTCTGCTTTGAGTGCCACCTCCTTTGCACTTAGACACTTAGAGTGTCACTCTATCCACCAATACTTTATTCTGAATTCTTGAACATACCATCAGGAAAATTATCAAAATATTAGTGTTTAAGTTGCAGAGTGACCAATGAATGTTTTTTCTCTTCTTAATTTGTCATTGGTGCCATTTTTGCTATAGATGAAGCCTCTACTGCAAGTGAAAGGGTTGTGTATTTTCCTGGGGTACAAACCTTTCTCCATTCAGTGGAAACAGATACCAGTTTAGTTTCTAAAGAGCTAAAATGTCGAGTAGACTCCAGAAATGAAGATAAGCAGGGAATGAAGATGTATTCCTGAGTGCTGTGTGGAGGCAGCAGCAGCAGAATTTAAGGCAGATGGAAATATTTGTGTTTGAGAAGGAAAAGCTCTGCTTTCTGTAGCACAAGCAGAATAAATTAGCTTATGTAGTAGTTGTAATTAGTCTATATAGTAACTGGTAGTGAGGTAGGCTTAACGAACTGTCTGCATGTGCTATAAACAAATATTGGAATTTAATGAATTCAAGCACTTGTTCAGTGTGGTGCTCTGTGTTTTTTCAGATGACCAACACACAAATATTCCAAATTCAATTTCATACTGGATTCATAGCCCTGGGAACAACCACACTGAAATTCACCAAGTGAGTATTTTAAGCTGAACGTTAATCAAACCTGAAGCATAAAAGCCTTATGAAGGCTGAAGGAGAATATTCACAGACTAAATGTGAGAAGTCTGTGTGCATATATTGAAAGACTTCATATAGCTTTGCAGAAGTATAATTTCTGAACAACTCGTGTCCCCATTTAGGCCTGAACTGGATGCCTGTGACTCTCCAGACAAGTATCCTCAGCTATTTCATGTTATACTGGAGATAGAAATACAGTCTACCGATAGACAAACCGAATTAACTCCCCCATGGGAGAACTTCACGACAAAAGACATCAACCCATCCATTCTCTTCTCCTCTCACCAGGAGCATCAGGACACTCTTGCTTTGGCAGGTAAGAGCTCACAGGTCTGCCTGCCTAATTTACATGCTTACCTGCCTGTTTTGCCTGACTTTATTGATGTATCCGGGGCCCTGTGCTGCAGGTAGAGGTCCCACTGATTCACCCCAGGATAACATAAGAAATGTTGGACAGAGTGCATTCTTCTCATCTCTCAGCTGGCAAGGTATGCAGACTTGGTCTTCAAAGCAAAATCTGCTCTGAAAAAGATAAACAAGGCTTTCTGTTGGGTGGGGTTTTTTGTTTTTATATCCCTCTCCCTGGAGCAGAGTCAGGCTGAAGGACCTGGTTGTAACATGTCTTTCCCATGAGATCACAGGGAACTGCTGGTTACGCCCCTGTGTTGCAACTGAGTGGGAGTTAATTTCCTACACTGTCCTCTTCAAACATGACCTGCTTGTGCAGTGTATGATAATAACTGACATTGTTCTAGTGTTCATCATTCTAGTGACATCTTCACCCTCGACCTTGGTGCTAAAACCAAATTTAAGCTGTCTTTATAATGTTGCACTTAGATATAGTGCTATGAGAAAGTTTGTTTTTAGAGCCTGTTTAATAATGCCAAACACCTTGAAAATTCTACAGTGCTGCTGAATGCAGGGTTCCTCTTCTGACACCAGCACCATTGTTGGTGGGAGCCCAGCATAAGAGGTCCTTATGGGCACAGCTTGGAGGGTGGTTTGTGTCCTTGCTTCTTTTCAAGGAGCCTGATTTTGCCTGGATTTTGAGGTTGGCTGGAGATCATCCTGGATGCTTGGTCTTGACCCAGACACTTGTTTAGTTTGTGTCTGCAGGCCTTACACTTGCTGGCTTTTCAGGTTTAGAAGAGTCAATTAACCTCTGTCTCTGTTTCCTGATCAATAAAGCTGGCTCCTTACGATACCGACCAGCAAAGACTTTAACTTAATCTTTGCAAAGGACTCTTTATTTTAAAATCCAGCAAAATGCTGCTGTGGTTTTCTCAGTAGCCTTTTGTTCTGCATGTAAGCTGATTTTTTACAGGACCTTTGTGATGACAAAACTAACAGCTGCCTAATTTTATTTTCAATCATCATTTAGATCAGAAATCTGACAAAAGTAGCTCTCACCCCACTTCAGAGGATCGAGCAGCATTGGTGCATGAGGAAAGCGAACAGTCAGATGACGAACTCTTGTCCCTTTCCAGTCAGCACAGTAATGCCAGTGGTGAAAAGCCTCACGGGACACCAAAACACAGCAAAAAGCAGCAAGAGCCTCCGGCACCACCTCCGCCCGAAGACGTGGACCTGCTGGGCCTGGATGGTAGCCCTATGAGCAAGAATTTTCCCTCACAGCCCACTGCTGCCCCCTCTAACTCAGACTTGCTGAATGATCTGTTTGGGGTTGGTGGGTCCCAGAGCCAAAGTGGACAGCCTGCTGCTGAGGAGGTCTTCCATGTGGGGGGGCCTGGATCTGTGCAGTCAACCCCTCGGCGTTCCGCAGCTTCGGCATCCCCATCCCCGTCCCCAAGAGTAGGAGAAGGTAATAGTGGCTATGCCTGGTGCTTGACTTGGTGGAGGACATGCTTTGAGAACCCCACTTGGGTAATCTGCTGGGTTCCTCTTGCATATGCTCATTTCATGAACATTAAGAGCTGTGTGGGATCCACACGGCCAGACAGCTCCTCTGCTCTGAGGCAGGAGTTGGTGCATCTTCACATTCATGAACACAAATGAGACTATCGAGGTTGTTCCCTAAAATCAAGTGTTTGGCTGGCTCTTTACACTGACAGCCATTGGAGACAATAAATCTTGCTCTTATAATGTGTCCAATAATGAGTATGAGAACAAGTATTAGTTTAAAAAAAGCCTGTTAGGTTTTTGGGTAGACCCATAGCAGTTTGAATTGAACTCCATTTTTAACTTTAGGGGAGTTGGAGCTATGATGCTGGTCCTGGACTATGAAACATGGCTACACAGTTCTGCTGTTTCTGGTCTTTCTGCAGACAAAGATAGGAAATACAAGAAGATCTTTTGTCTCTTCAAAGACAGACTGAGATCAGGCTGGCAGAAGGAGTGGTTGAATAGATACTAGGAAGATACTAGGGGTCTTTTGGAGGGTTAAGTGAATGGAGGAGAGGAAGTGAAAACCATTTTAAAGTGAACTGGTGAAGAGCCCAGTCTGAGTTGCTCCGATTCACTGAGGGAAGAGGTAGTCAGTTTAGCCAAAGGTAAAATGGGAACAAGTGTCTGGATCTGCCAGGAGGTCTCTGCACTGCCTCGAGCTGCACAGCCCACCAGTGTTCAGTTTGGCCTCATCCTTTATGTTGCAGTTTAAGAGCTGATGTTGTAAACGCGTTCCTCATTCAAAGAGCGCAGTATGTTTGCTTAACTTGTTCTCAGCAGCTAATAACTTAAAGCATTTGCAGCTCCTGCCAACCTTCTTGTGCAGAAATGTTGGTTGTTTTTTTTTTTTTCATTTAGTTAAGGAGGCGTAGGCCTGGGCAATGCTGGGGCTGTGGCAGCAGAGGCACCTACCACAAGATGGCCTTGCAGCCAATTTCTGAAGACTCTTCTTGAGTCCTCCTTCCTCACTAGGATAAAAAACTGCAAGTTTGGGGAGTTTATCTGCTAGAATGCTCAAAGACCAGATTTGCCTATGGTGTTTTTCAAAGCGAAAGGGACAGGAGCAGTTGTAATCTCTTTATGCGGAGACTTGTGAAGGGAGGGAAGAGGAGACAGGACTGGACACAGGAGAAGGGAGAATACAAGTTTCAGTGGCCACTTGTATATGGAAAAGGTTCATCTTGCTGTGGCTGTTGTATACTCATTGCATAAGTAGCAAGTAATAGAGAGTATGTATTAACATAATGCATAGTGTCTTAGGGCTGTATCTTTCTTACAGCAGTATATGTTGCATCTCCATTGAAGATGCTCTTTACCTTAATTTTTGGCAAGTAAGAATTCAAGTGACTTCACAGGGCTTTCTTTTGCTGGTTGGGTTTGTTGGGTTTTTTACAGGAAAGCCAGTAGGCTAAACAAATTGATAAAATAGAGTTTGCGATGAACTGGCTTTTTGTAACAAGTGATGCTGTGTAGGAAAGATAGCAGTTATTTTCTAAAGCTATTTCTAAAAGATGGTCCTTTATTACCCTCAACATGTATAACCTTTGACAGCCTAAAATCATCTTGGACTGTCTTCAGCTCTTCAGAGGAAGCAGTTGTGCCAGGCGCTACCTCCAAGCTCCAGGCTGTTCCTCACCATTCACAGAATCACAGAACGTTAGGGATTGGAAGGGACCTCAAAAGCTCATCCAGTCCAATCCCCCTGCCAGAGCAGGAACACCCAGATGAGGTTGCACAGGAAGGCGTCCAGGCGGGTTTTGAATGTCTGCAGAGAAGGAGACTCCACAACCTCTCTGGGCAGCCTGTTCCAGTGCTCTGTCACCCTCACTGAGAAGAAGTTTCTTCTCAAATTTCAGTGGAACCTCCTGTGTTCCAGCTTGTGTCCGTTACCCCTTGTCCTCGGTTTGTCACCGAGAAGAGCCTGGCTCCATCCTCGTGACACTCACCCTTTAAATATTCATTTATGTACTGGCAGTACGTGCAAGCTGAAACTTCATCTGAAGTGTCCAAGTATCTGAATACTTGTTTTGACTGCTCCTAAATTCAGCCCCTGTCTTTGGAAGAGACAGATGGGATCAGCAAATGTGTTGCCATGACCAAGTCATGTGGTTCTCTAGGGTATCAATACTTTCCAGTTGCTTTCCCACGGTTGCATGCTGTCTCTTATTTGGTATCTGCAGGTTTTAGGTTCTCTTCTCCACACACCAGTGCCTTTTCCCTTAAGCACATTTGTTGTACAAGCTAATGACTTAGCTTTCTCAAATGTGTTTTTGCAGCCACTGCCTTTGATCCATTTGGAAGTAGCCCTAAGCAAACTGGTCCAGACCTCCTGGGTTCCTTTCTTGGTTCATCAGCTGTCCCTGGTGATCCTTTCCTTCAGGCAACACGAAGTCCTTCACCAACTGTGCACAGCGATCCCTTTCACATGGGTAAGAAAGTGAGGCTCTTGCAGTGTATTTAAGTAAATGTAAAATGCCGCTTTTAAATAGTGATGGAGCTATTAAGTACAAAGCGATGCTTATCATAAAATGACTCTAAACCACAGAAACCCCACTAAACAGGAAAGAGCTTTTTGTCTCTAGACTTCAAGCATATTCGGGATTTGAAGTGTGGTAGGACGAGGCTAGTTTTGCTCAGGTCTTATAGTTAATTAATAAGCTATTTGTATACATGAAAAAAGAGATGATGAAGAGTGTTTGCCTGCATATTCCTGTGGTTATGAGGTCTCATTTGAACAAAATTACCATTAATTGAGCTAAATAGAGCATGGCATATTAAGCCTGCTAGAGAAAACACACGTCCTTTGGTGATTTTCGTTACAGGCATCTGCTTTCTTTAGATCTGATAGTAATCCTGGCCAAATTCACAGTTGAATTTGACTGTTATTTGAATAGGAGGATTTATTTTTTCTTTGTTGGACTTCTTCTTCTCTTACTTTGTCTGAAATGTCCCTCAGTTGTCCCCTTTTCCCCCTGTGCCAAAATTTAATGTTCTAACCTGAAATGCATTCAGATACAAATTCATTTGTGTCTGATCATCTAACACATATCCCTTGGGTGCAAGAGACTCGCTTACAAAGGAGGGAACTAGCGTGCTGCTGGCACTGCTCATGTCCTTGCTGTGCCAGACTCGGGTATTGGATATTAGCTCTGTGAATAAGGCGGTTGGGTCACACTTGGAGCTGGCTGCACTAATGAGAAGAATTTAAATAGTATCCCAGCATGACGAGGTATTAAATTACAGTGCTAGTGTCTACAGATAATGAACTGCTGGCAGGGTGAGCTGTGTAGATGTACAGGCTTTATTTGGTACAGGTTAAAGGAAGGACTGTGTGTGTTCTTTCTGGTTTACAGCTGTGTGGGCTCTTTTGTTGTAGTTTTCTCCATCCTTGCCCTTTACATGTAGAATATTTTCTTGGGTCGAGATGTTGTCAGAAATACTAAACCTCGTGTGTTATTCTGGCAGTAAGGCTTTTATAAATGAATACATAAAGCCTCTGACCAAAACCACCATAAAATGAGCACTGTAAATCTGTGTCCTTTCCCTCTTACGTCTGTAGAGTATGAGATGAGAAATAAACATTAAATTTGTAATGCCCATTGTGGGGGGAAAAATTAATTTTTAATTAGCAAATGGTAGGTAGCTGCACACAATACTGTCTCTGCTGCTGCTTGCCCTCTAATCTTCCTAGATGCTGGATTGTGTTGGTTTTGCTGTACTGGATTGAGATATTTACATGTAATAATTCTGCTTAGCTTCTAGCACACCAACAGTTTCCATACAACCAGATGTTTCCGGTGGTTGGGACTGGCCCAACAAACCAGGTATGTATCCCAGAAATTCAGGACACTTAATAAAAAACCCTTAAGGAACCCTGAGAGAGGAGAGGCAGGTGGAAGATGCTATCAGTAGCTATAGAGAACAGGTTCCCTCTTTCTGCTGCTTAGCACCATGACTAATACAAGAAAGACTGAAAAATCTGAGGTTCCTTTCTCAAGAAAGCAGGGCGTGCGGTGAGACAGATGCTCAGTGAGGGTGTACATAGTTGTGTTTCAGTGGAGAGCCAAAAGAACAACCTGGAAAGTGCTTTGTGTTCCTGGGATGCCACACCACCATAAATTCTTTCTAATCTCAAGAGAGTATGTATGTCCTATCAAAAATTGCTTCCTGAAGGCTTCTAGTTCCTAAAATGTATCAATTTATCATAATTACTCTGTCACCGCAGACAGTCTAGGGAACGTTTTTTGATGCTGAGCCTAATTGTGAGTGGGTGTGCAACTTGTCTGGGCCAACACTGAGTTGAGACTGCTTAGGAACCTCACAATAGCACGCTTAATTTTAGCAGCAGTCTACACACACACATCGTGCAGCTGAGCACTGGGTAAGAGCTGCACTCATGTACAATAGGAATAAAAACGGAGTTGTTTGTGTGTGTGTGTGTGTGTGTGTGTGTGTGTAAGCGTGGGTGTGTGAGTGTGTGTATATAAAAAACATTCATTTCTTTATTCATCTATTTCTTTTTCCCCTTTAAGGTGGCCTAGGTGTGGGAAGCAAGTCAGCTGCCACAAGCCCTACAGGATCCCTCCATAGCACTCCCACTCATCAGCCTAAACCTCAAACGCTGGATCCATTTGCTGATCTGGGGACTCTTGGAGCAAGCTTAGCAGGTTTATATCCCTTATTTTAAAAAAATAAAGTTTTAAAATTACCAGCTCTGTTTTAGAGAAACAGCATGAACAGCCTGGTACGTGATAAAGAGCTCTATGGGTCCTCTCAGCCCAAATGCATGTCAGTGCTGCTTTCAAGCTTTCCCTTCTGCCTGATTTGCTGTAAGGTCTCACAAATCTGTGCTTTTACTGATTCTCCATCAAAAAAAACATCCCTCCTAACAGCTGGCTGGGACCCTGTTGAGCTCTATGGCTTGCAAAGTGGAACCACAACTCGTAAGTCTGAACAGTTTGTGGCTAAGGATACTCCGTGTTTTACTCCAACTGGAGAATTGTTGGTACAGGTCTGGGAGGAGATTTTGGCTTTTTAGAGCTCCTGGGGTCTTTGAGGAATTGTTTCCTTCTAGACTTGGCTCATTTTTGTGCTTTGTGAGGAAACAAATGTATTTGCAGTACTATCTAAAGGTGGAGTCTAAATCCATTTTTATTTGCACCTGGATGTAAAGGACTTGATTGCTTAGACAAGCATTTTCTCCTTGTTTTATCTCAGACAGCTATCAGCAAACCCTCAGACTCAGTGGTAAAAGGCAGTTCTGACAAATTACTTAAGTTTTCCTTAAAACCCAGCATGTTGGCCTCTCTGTCTCCAGTAAACAGATTTTTTTTTCCCTCCTTTTTCACAGCCCTCAGCTCTTTGCAAGCCATTGTGGTTTTATCTGTTGTTTGTTTTCTCCTTTGCGTCAGTACCAGCATGGTTCTGGAATTAGGTTTCCCAGTTCCCTCTGGTGGATCACTAACTGCTCTGCAGGAGCAAAATAAAAAGCATGCCAAGACCCACGTCGGAGCCACCGAGGTGTATTCTGGAGCAAAATTAGGGAGTTTAACAACAAATGACTTGGCGTGCACAGGATATTTCACCACGTTTGTGTTGTTCGTGACTAAGTCAAAGCACTTGAGACAGTTTCCATGACACGTTTCAGAGCTCAAAGTTGAGCGTGGATGTTGGTCTCCAATAATAAAACTTTACCACTGCCTACCTCCTACCACAAACTAAGCCAGAGGAGCATCCCCTAAAGTAATATGGTGCTGAAACACACAACTCTGTGGGATTGCATTACCTCAGCACAGCAAGAGGAGATACTATTTCAACATATATCGACTCCATGTTGCCACCATAGCCCACAGCAGCTGTGATTCCCAGTTACTTGCTGGTAGTGTTCCCTGCGTTTCCCCAGTGAGCTTCTACACTAATTCCTGTGTGATCTTTAGAGGCTGGTGCTGTCTTTTAAGCATCTCACGGAGCAGTGACAGAAAAGTTGAAGGACTTTGCTTGCTGTTGCAAATGTAAGTTTTTGACAGAGCTGAAAATCGAACCTAGCTGCCTGGAGGGCTTTGTGTAGGTTCACCTTTCGGAAGGTAAATCAGGATCCTGTTTGCTAATGCCCACCATGACTCCTTTCTCTGTGCCCTGTAGGTGGCCCTTCATTTGCCAGTAAACCCACCACGCCGACAGGCATGGGGGGAGGATTCCCCCCCTCGCCGCAGAAACCCTCTCCCCAGCCCATGGGCGGCAGCGGTTGGCAGCAAGGGGCTGGCTATGGCTGGCAGCAGGCGCAACCCAAAGGGCAGCCAAGCGTGCCCCACGCCTCTCCCCAAAACAAGCCCAATTACAACGTGAGCTTCTCAGCGATGCCAGGAGCACAAAACGAGCGTGCTAAAGGACCTGCCAACGTTGGTAAGTTTTCTTGGAGTTCAGCATCCAAAAGGTTGGCTCCTTCTAATGTTGCTTTAATGCTCAAACACCTTAACAGGTTAAGCAAGTAACTCATGCTGATCATTTGATGATATATAAAGTTCAACACTTCCAGACTCTAAAGCATGCTAACACTTAGAAAATCCTGTATTCTAAGTGGGCTTCAGTAATAATAATTCAAAAGTAGAATTAGCCTATGCCTCTGTGAGAACCTACATGCTCATTAACACTGGAAGATTGTTATGGTGATAAGTGTGGGTGGTGGCTTGGGTAGTAAAGCAGTGTGAAATAAACCTGTATTGTGATAACAACTTCAAATCTTCTTTTTTTAAATCAAGATTCAAAACCAAAAGTGTCTGCAGATTTCGAAGATTTATTATCTGGTCAAGGTTTTAATGCTCACAAGGACAAGAAGGGCCCCAAAACAATAGCAGAGATGAGAAAAGAAGAAATGGCTAAGGAGATGGACCCTGAAAAACTAAAAGTAAGCAATATTCTTGTTTATGCCCTTACAATAATTCAACGTGTCCTTTGTTCTCATCATGCCAGAGGTTGCTTGAAACACTGCCCCTGAAAGGTGGCAATGAGCTGTCCTGTGTGAGAGACAGCTGAGCAAATCTTTCAGATCATTTAGCACCAGAAGTTATCCTCTTGTTTCAGCACGAACTTTAGTGTGCTAAAACAGGGGAATGTCTTAAGAAGGATGTTCTCCCCATGATAAGATTGTTTTGGGGCAGAAAGTGAGGACTTCCTGCTGTTTGTTCATATAATAAACTCACATGCCTTCCCTGGAGATGTGAACATCCTTTGGAATAGATTTAAAACTTCAAGGTTACCTTTCTGTCCTAAACCAGACTGTGGCCAACAGCAGCTGGCTCAGTGTTACTCTGAGGGCTGCTGGTTGTCACATCATTCCAACCCTGCTTAGCAGGCACAGCTAATTGAACTAATCCTCTGTCTCATTAACCTTGCCTGCTTTGGATTTCTCTCATCTCTCCTTAATAAATGGCCAGGCTACAGATTTATTATGAAAGGAAGGGAATTCAGTCTGTCCAGCTCTACATCTGAAATATGAAACCACAAATTATAGTTACAGAAGGATACAAAACACAGAGGAAAAGCCCAATGAAAAGCCAAGTGAACTTCTAGAAAACAATGAGTGGATTTTTTTTTTTATTAAGCTTGTGGAAATGTTTTTACCTTTGGAAAGTGAGTGCCACTTGTAACCAAGCTGGACAGCTGTCAGGCCATCAAGTGGGCAGCAGTTTTCTCAATTCATGAGCTGTACAACTTCAGTGATTCACAGGGTACCACTTAATGTGTGCAACATTTTCCCCCAGCAAGCTGCTGAATCACTGAAGCACTCAGCTGATTCTCCCTTCTCAATGCAATTACCTTTGCTCTGATTAGTTTTATTTCATTGAGTCACTTCACTTCAGCCTGGAACTGTTACACCTATTTATGCTTTGGTTTTTACATTTACTTCCCTTTCCTTCTCCCCTTCCCCAGACGTAAGCTAAGATGGCAACCACCCCTGGGGACCACATCACCTAGGAAAGTGGAAATTGCTTTATTTGGCTGCTGGACTGTGGGTAGCAAATAGGCACAAGGAGAGAAATGAGGCTTCCGACTTAGGGCTTAAAAAGATTTGTATTGAAGCTAACCTCCAACGTGAGTCTTTAGAAGACTTAACTCACAAAAGATACACATCCACAGCAGAATTCTGGTTGAGCTTACTTGAGGTGTGCAATTCCACTTGCTAAAGAGATGCAGAGCTAAACATTTCATTTATCTTTTGACTATTCCATCTAACGACTGATCATAAGTTTTACTAAGTGAAGATGTATTTTTTGCTCAAGGTGTGTCTTAACTTTCAAGCAGTGATATAAAAATTAATGACAAAGTAGACGGACAAGTGTCTTCTAAAGTTTGGAAAGAAATGTAAGATGCTCCTTGGAGTCATTGCTATTCAAATGAAGAAACTTTTTCCTACTGGAATACCTAATGTAAGGCATAAATTGAGACTCACGTTCTGCTCTCCAGGTCCTGGAATGGATTGAAGGGAAGGAGAGAAATATAAGAGCCTTGCTGTCCACAATGCATACGGTCTTATGGGCAGGGGAGACCAAGTGGAAACCTGTTAGCATGGCGGATCTTGTCACGCCAGAGCAAGTGAAGAAGGTCTACAGGCGGGCAGTGCTTGTTGTTCATCCTGACAAGGTAAGGTTTTCCTGGTTTCAAATTGTCACTGTTCTCTTAATTATCAAGTGTTGAATGTGATTGCTTAATTTCTTGGTGCAAACAGCTTTGCATAAAGTAGTAGTAGTAGCAGTAGTAGTTCAAGATTTCTGCCAGTTTCTGAAAGGTAAGAGCTCGAACCACTCCCAGCCTCAAGACTGTGCTTGGTACATCTGTTCCAAGCAACGGAGATTCTGATCTTGCTCTGACTCTAAGCCATTCTGGACTGCTGTTCACCATCAATATATTGTGCTTGCTGAAGGAGATGAGAGGTGATAAAGGCACATGAAAGCCCAAGGGTCTTAAAATCAAACTTCTAAAATGGCAGAATCAGGTTATCTGATTATCCAGTATGTGAGTTTGCTGCTTCCACTTGCCAACCAGAGTGCAATGATGCCACCCAGGAATGATGACGAGGCTACCACTTTTAAGGAAATTAAAACTGAGAAGATGTGGGCTGCCCAGAGGCTTGCAGGAAAGCTGATTTTTATCAAGGAACTGTGTTAGGTGGCAGCTCTTTCC